CTTCGCCGAAGGAGCAGCCTCTGAAGGCCAAACTTCTGAAGTAAAGTCCGAAGACCACCGCCAAGGGTCAACATCCCAGGACCAAGCATCCCAAGACCAAAGTTGATCATCCCAAGTCTGATCCCAACTGTTAGGGTCGTTGTAAAGTTCCGTGACCGCGTTCACGGCCCATTCGGTCCAATCTGTCCAATCATCGGACTCACCAAAGTGATTCCAATCTCCTGCGTCCTCCGACGGGTAAAGTTCTTCACCTTCAACAGCTGAAACACGGTTCAAAGGACAGTTGCTCGAAAAGTGACCTGTTTTACCACACGTCCAGCAAACCGAAGTAGAACCAGAAGTGGGCTTTCCTTTTCCTTTTCCTCTTCCTTTTCCTTTCATCATAAAGTTCCAATGTTGTCCTCCTTTTCCAAACGACTTCGAAAAGTCCTTTCCTTTTCCTTTTCCTTTTCCTTTTCCTTTTCCTTTTCCTTTTCTTTTCCTTTTCCTTTTCCTTTCCACAAAGCTGCCGCTAAGGCACCAATGTCCATGGGAGCCGAGGCTCCACCAGCAAAAGTTGCATTCGCCGAAGTTTGTGCAACTGGATTCATCAAAAGTCGTGACCTATGGTACTCAAGGATAACTTCTCGAACTTGAGCATAAGTTGCCAAAGTTTGGGCATTCAACCTAAGGTGTTGTTGTAAAGCTCCAGAGGTTTTGTTCAGCAAAGTTGCAACAAGAACACCATCAGGCAAAGGTTGTCCTACTTGTCGTTCATATCTACTCTTGATTGTCTCCCAAACATTAAAGTCCTGCTCAAAGGTTGCTGGGTTGAACTTAAAGTCCAACAGCTGCGTCAAAAGTGACGTACTCCGCGTGGCTCCTGGCAGCGAGAACTTCTTGTAAAGTCTCCTCCATGTCTCAAAGCCGTTGCTGTCCTCGTTCTGACGAACAACAAGTTTCGCCGAATCTTTCACAAGTTGAGAAATCAGGTAATGTAGCTTTCGGGAGAAAAGTACTCGGTTGGCGGTCTGTTCCGGATCAACATCACCTGTGCCCAAAGTGACTGTTAGATCAGCATCTGTAAAGTCACCCTGCGCTGCCGTTCGCATTTCGGCATTGTCCATCAAAGTCACAGCACCTACCTCGAACATCGAAATGTACGCTTTAAAGTTCCATGACCATTCTTCCCAGTCTGCTGGGTTCCCAGAGAAAGTCTCTGGCAGAGGAAGCCGAAGCTTCCCTGTAAAGTAAAGTTGTCTTCACCTCCTAGCGCTATGTTGTTCTACCAAAGTTCCGTGGAGCTTTCAGCTCCGCTACCATGCGAAAGTACACTAGTTCAGAATGCGCACCAAACTACCCTAAAGTAATTCCGTGCACAAGCTCACACGACTTAGACCAAAGTAACCCTGAAGTTCAGCAGCGCCTTTTCTCGTAGGGCAAAGTGGTCTTGAGCCAACGACGGTTGGCAAAGTCTGGGGGAGAAAGGGAGGTGTTATTTTCACAAACAAGCAAGCAAACATACGTACATACATACGTACCTACATACACTCATACATGCATACGTTCATACATTCATATGTTATACGTTCATGCATTTATACATGCATGCTCATGTGCATAATTCATTCACCAAGGCATGCAGGTTCTTTTGCACAGATACTCGTAATATCTTTCGGTAACTTAGCATAACATAACATTACACAACCTTGCTTCCTCATCTTGTTGCTTACCTGCTTACATGCTTGCTTGCTTCATTTACAGTCAGCTGCGTTCCATTCACTTCCTTCTGCAGGGAAACCGATGCCGTGCTTTGACAGCGGGCGTGTTCCAGTTGTTCCACAAGAAGGCCGACAGTTGGCATTTCATGGGGTTTGGGGTCCAGCTTTAGGGTTGAGAGTTGTCTCTCATTTCTAGATGTGGTACGATCGGGTTTCCGGCAGAGAAAAATGATCTCAGAGGCTAAGAACTGCTTTGAGAAAGGAGTATGTAAGCAGCTCGTAGAGAACGGTTTGCAGCATAAGAGCTGAACTACACCGTTAAGTCCCGACCAAGAAAGCATCGTATACCGAGATTCATTAATGTGCCAAAGGACATCGAGCCTGTCGTTCGACGCGGCATCATGTGACGAAGAGTGGTGCGACAGCAATATCATGCTCGTGTGGCACTATGTCCTGCTTTTCCTGTGCATATAAACAAACAACAGGTGACTGAGTCGTGGGAGAGGGAGATGTAAATATACATACCTTCGGAAGGCCTAGGCGAATCTGAACATGCCGCATATTCCTCATTGATAGCTACAACATTTTCGCACTGCAAGTCGAAACGACTCGGAGGACCTAGTGCAATCCTCATTCTCCAGAGAGGGAGCGCCAGCTGACCACCAGTGCGAACAGTCTACTTGCCATTCTCCGTTGCTGACTGAAGGCACTGAGTCTGTCGGCGCTGTCTCACGTTCACCTTCAACTGCCGCTCCTCGTCACGCAAGAAGAGTTGCTGCGAGGCTTGAGTGGCCGGTTGGCAAAGCTGACGTGGTTGGTCTGTGCGTGTGTGTGTGTGTGTGTGTGTGTGTGTGTGTGTGTGTGTGTGTGTGTGTTTGTTTGTTTGTTTGTTTGTGTGTGTGTGTGTGTGGGTGTCCGTCTGTCCGTCCGTCTGTCCGGCTTTGCGTTTGTGTGTGTGCGTGTGTGTCTGTGTCTGTGTGTGTGTGTGTGCGTGTCTGTGTGTGTGTGTGTGTGTGTCTGTGCGTGTGTGTGCGTGTTGGTGTCTGTGTGTGTGTGTGTGTGTCTGTGTGCGTGTGTGTGTGTGTGTGTCTCTTTGTGTGTGTGTGTGTGTGTGTGGACGTCCCTCGTTTATGGGATAAGGGGATCACAACCCTGGGTCGTGATTATGCATTTTAAAATCCGTTTTCTGAATCAATCGAACAGGTGACAGCCTTGCAACATTTCGCAGGGGGACACAGCATGTCACTGGGACTGTGTCCAACGAAGCTACCAGTGACATGGGAAGAGAGGACTGATCATCCTCTTGTACGTGCGTAGCTGGGACCCCTGTGCCAGCAAGATGAGAGGGCCCCTGTGCCAAGATTACAGATTCATTTGTGCAACTGAGGTCGACAAATTCATGGCATCATTTGCTTAGATGTACGTACGGTTGCTGCAATCTGTCACATGATGGCTCTATTTACATGCATTTACATCACATGTTGCACAGCCAGCCTGCACAATGTCCCCAGTGAACATCCATCCGTGAGTACAGACAACACTTTTTCAGTGTGTGTCTCTGTGTGGGATTTCTGGAGTACTCCACAGAAAATACCAGGAACTCACAGCAAACGGGGAATTCTTCCCCTGGCTCTACAGCCAAAACCAGCCCTTCTACCACCTGGCTTACGCCGACGACACGGCACTGATGGCGGGCACGGCGACCAGAGCACAACAGCTCCTTCACACTCTTCAGCGAGTTGCTGCTCACAGCAACCTACACCTTATTCTCAAGAAGTGCGTCTTGCTACGCTCCCCCACCTCACAGAACACCATTCACTTCACAGACGGCGCCCCACTCACCGTCGAACAACACGCCAAGTACCTCGGAGTCTTGTTGAGCAGCAATGGCTCTTCTCACAAAGACGTCACCACTCGGCTAGCCAAAGCCCGCAAACACTTCCACTCACTGCACCAGTTCTGGCGCAACACGGATCTCACACTGAAGTGGAAGCTCCGCATCTACAATGCGGTTTCCGTTCCTTTGGTGACGTACGGTCTTGAGTCTGCAGCGCTCACAGCCGGAGACTACCACAGGCTTGAGGCCTTCCGTTCACAGTCACTCCGGAAAATCTTACACTTCAAAAGCACCTACTACACCGAAGTCTTCAACCCCACAGCTCGCACCTACACCAACCAAGAAGTGAGAGCTCTCACCTCACAGCCCCCTCTCACACACCACATCCACAAAGCACAGCTGAAGCTTTTCGGGCACATTCTTCGATCCCCTCCGAACAGTATAGAACGGAACTGCTGTTTTACTAGGTCTTTTCAGTACAGAGGGGGAACGGTAGGAGCAGGCCTTAGGCCAGGTAGGCGAAGGGTCCACTGGACAGAACAGTGCACCAAGCTCCTTTGGCACTGGCTTTTAAAGTCCTCTAGAACCCCAGCCACTCACAGCCCTCCCGTACTCCTATCTACAAGCTCACAGAACAGCTGTAGACCGCCACTTTTGGAGTACGCTGGTGACGTTGCCAACGTGCAAGACACTCCTAGAAGCACACTCCTACGTAGTTCTCTCACAGACATGAGTTCCTGCGGAGTTGTTGCTGAGCGAGTTGCATAGGGCCGCCCAAAAAAAACTCCACAGAAAATAGTCCAGGAGCTGAGATGGGATCTTACGTCACATGTCTGGAGACCGGAGAAGAAGGGCGCGTGGGTTTGGTTGTTGGCCCACGCAGGGAATGTGAGCCTGTCGGCAAGCCACAGGCAGCATGTGCAGAGAGAGAGAGAGAGAGAGCGAGAGTTACTTCTCCGTCTGCTTCAGGGCATCATCTGCCTTCCCTTCAAGGTAAGCATGGGTGATCCACGCAGTTCGCAGAGCCCACGGAAATTGGAGGGCAGGCGAAATTCAATCCGATGCGATATCCCACAGTGGACATTCAACTGAGCCATACATCAGTTTGATCTCAACTTCCAGTTGGCTGCTACGCACCTTCACACAGCTGTTGGCAGCCCTGTTGGCAGTAATTCAGCATTGAATGATTCGGGCATGTGTGCAACTTCCCAGGCAGTCCCCAACACATGCAGCGTCGCTGGGCACATTCGTTTAGCGGCGATGTTGCTACACGAATCCCACCTCTTTGGCCAACCCGGCTCGAGACAAGGGCACACGGTGCCTGGCTGGGCGGGAGTGGATTGGGCAGGGTGCTTTCGATGTTCGGCGCGATGCTCCCGGCTCCCAGAAAGAAGTGATCCGCAAGACAGCGAGGAGAAAAGGACAGTGCGTGTCCATGCTGTTGCACCTGCGTCCTTGCCCAGATGACGGCAATGACCACCAACGCTTCTCCTGATTCGCGCGGACCTCAGAAATCAGCCCATGAAGTGGAGGTCTCAGCGAAGTGTTTATAAGACCCATGCAGTGTCTACTCCGCTTGATGGAGCGTGGCAAGGCATAGCTATGAAGACCTTGCCCGTCGATCCTGCATCCTCTGACAGCTCGCTGGAAAGAGAGGTTTGACTGAACGAATTGTTCACCACCCAGGAAAGAGGCAAAGAGTTTATGCTTCCACCCCTGCCATGCGACAGAAAGCTGGGAAAAGGAAGAGGCCATCGCAATGGCCTCCATGTTAGCTCCGCCGAAGCCCTACAGCAATCAGTTTGGCAGTGCCTCCAAGCAAAGCAGGCGGCACCTCCTTCTGTCCTACACCCTATGCAGGTGCCCAAACAGAGCCTCACCAACAGCAGCAGCAGCAGCAGCAGCAGCTGGCAACGATTCGGGGCACTGATCGCACCTGAATCCATGCGTACCATCGGAAACAGCAACAAAGCGACCGCAGGCAACAGTAGAGGCCTAATGCAAACGATGGGCGTCAGTCACGTCTCCTCAGCCAAACCCGGCAGCCGTTGCGGATCCCCAGCCTGATGCAGAGGGAGGCAGGGAAGGAAAGAGCCACAGCCTCTCACAACAGCCGATGAAGTGCAGAAGGTTCCAGCCTTCCTTGCCGCCACCGTGGCGTGAAGATTTGCAGACCGAAGTGCAGCAGGCCAATGTGCCAGTGGAGACGACACTACAAGGAGCTCTACTGCTTGCCGTAACGGGTACCAAGAAAAGCGCATCCAAGAACTACGTGCGCTGATGGAGCTTTCCCCCATCAGTGCAGGCAGTCCTTCGATGTGCTTGTTTTGGTGAGATTTCTGTATTCTCGAGAGTCTCACAGTTCGGGACATGAACCAGGTGAAAGGTGTGTCGATCTCGGCGACACGTATTTGATTCTCAGTCTGCTTGCGATGCACGCAGGTCAGGATGGTGCAGTGCTGCGCCGTTTCTCGAGACAGTGCCCGGGCGCGGGTTAACGGTTAGCCGCATCTTGTGACTGAGCTTTCTGCTCTCGGGTGGACCGGGTGGGGCGTTAGTCCCTTTAGGGACACGGTTTTCCGGCTCTGGTGGTGCGGCGCGGCTAGTGCTGCAGAAGCAGCTGCTGAGGTCCCCGGCCCGAGATGGGGATGCATGCTCAAAGAGGTGCTTGCATACTGAGACAGGCTTCCTGCCTGGAGCATTTTGAGCGGAGATTGATATTCTCCTATGTGGGTGGATGTGGACCGCTGTGACGTGGATGTGGGCCAAGTGTGACAATGCTCCACATATCACATGTTGGTCAGCTTAACGTTGGAGTCCCTAAATTTGGTCCACATGTGTCTTATGTGTGAAGTTTCACACCGACCAACAAGCCAGTCCGAGTGCGAAGGCACCAGTTGCCGCTTCGACAAAGCGTTGTCGCAAGTGGCCGTGTAGCGTGTCTTGCACACGTATCTGAAGATGCCAGGGAGCTAAGCCATGCTAAAACCCTGACAGAACGTTTGTCCAGTCAGTTTCGAGAAGCTTCATCCTGATTCCGAGGTCACCCGTTGCCGGCAGCAGTGTGGCCAGCAGCAGTACGGTGTACAGGTGGGCCTGTTCATGGCTCTGGGGTGGACCTTGCCCATGGAGTCGAGTGCCTAATATTGCGGAGACAGCAGCACATCGTCATGCCCAACTGCCAGACGACGCGAATTGCGATTTTCGATCACGTGCCAGGAGGGTATGAGATCAGTTTGTCGCCATCCTGACCAGGAATCTCCCAGCGGAAAAATTGTTCCTGGGCACTGGCTTGGAGAATGTCACGCGAAGGAAGCCCAAGCGAGGCGGGCTTCAGCTGACTTTGACTTACACCATATGCGTCCAAAGCCTCAGATTTAGCTTAGTCCAAGCATGCGTCATGTGCGAGCTACTGTTTGGAACCGTGGCCGAAGATCCGACTTCTCAGTTGTGTTCTACTTGGATCCTACGTGGAGTTGCTTCACACAGTTCGACTCCGAACACAACTTGTCATGGTTCTTTGCTCAAGGCGCGTCACTGCCCAAACTGCCATTCCATGGATCACGAATGTCAGAACTTGTGCGCAGCACAGGTTCCGACAGTGTTTTCATCTCCGGGCCACTGGCAGGTGAGCTTGGGAGGGAGGAGCTGAATCTTCGACATTTTCGATTGTTGTGCGTGGTACCCCCTGTCAGCTCTTAGGACCTTGCATTTCACGTAGCCCAGCGAGCTTATCCCCCTAAGTCTTACTTGCATCCCATTTGTTTTCTTGGCTTGCTCCTTTCTGGCCTTCCGGTACTGACGGGACTGATTAAAGTAACCATGCCAGGTGGAGAGATCAGGTTTTCCGGCGAATTCGATGCTGCAGGTGAAGAGCCGCTTGGTTGCATCAGCAGCGCCGCAGTCCAAGAATGTCGACCGTAGAGTCTGAAGGAGGCCGGGTCGTACCGGGTCCACGAGGTCACGTTACCCAGCCGGAACAGGAAGCAATGCACAGCTTGTTGATGTCATTCGAAGTACATTGCGCCGGACAGAGGCAGCCTCGAAATAAAAGCATCCAGGTGCCAACCGGTTTCCTCGACGCCCCCGAGTGTTGTGTCAGCCATGAGGTCCAAGAAGATGTGCTTCCCTAAGCCATCTAAGTCTGGGATCCTTACTAAAATGGTCCCGAAATGAGACACTGCATTTTGGAGAACACTTGCTCATGGTGAGTTTCGGCTGGTTCTAGATCCAAGTCCAAGGGTTCGCCAGCAGCTTCTTTCCGTCCTCGGCTTCAGTCTCTTGGCAGAAGGAGTGCGCAAGCAGTGTGAGCCACTAGGTGTTTGTTAGCTTTGGGGTTTCTTTTTGGAGGTTTAGGGTCCTGGGCAAGCAAGCCTGCAGCAAAGGGTCCTGGGCATCACCTCAAGGCTCGTAGTCATTGCGATGGACTGCAGGAGCGGCATTTGTCAGAGGAGGGCCGGCAGGCTGGAAGTCTCCCAGTACACATGTACATTGCCAAACAAAACCTCACCAATACATGTGTGCTCAACGACGGCTCTTTTGACTGAACTACGACAGCAGGCTCCGGGCAGGGCTCCAGTCCCCCAAACCGGTGTATAAAGTCCCGAATTCGTGATTCGCAAAGTCTACTATTTATACTATTCACAGTTGTGACGATGGAGCTCCTAGGAGTTGGGCCCATGTTTGCAGCTGATGCATGCTGATGTGCTGGAACACCGTGGCGAGCAGTGCAGTCCTACGAGAGCCCACTGGAGAGGTTCGCTTGACCGTGCTGCAGACTAAGGCGCCAGGTCCAAGGTGGAGAAGATGCTTGGCTTTAGCGGAGGCTGGAGACAAAGCTTGCGCTTCACTTGCTGCATACATGGGGAGTTTGGTGGGCAGCCCTCTCGGGAAGGATGTAGTTCTGTTGAGAAGCAGTGGCTCAAAATAAAGAAGCTGCCGCGCTGGGTTCCGAACAGATTCACATATCGGCTGTGCTTAAGTGGTACAGTGAGCGGACTTGCCTTACTGCTCTACTCCTACCTGCCCCAACACGCGAACACGGATTCCCACAAGAGCCCGTTGTGATTAGGATACCAGCCTCGTAAGGAATTGGATCGTTCTGGTTCGCACGTAACCGATGTGCGGCATTACGTTTTTGTCGCCTTCGCCGACAATCGTGGGCGCATTTTCGTTTTCATACCGCTCTCACGCGCTTCGCCTTTTGTCAACAATTTTGCTTTCCTTGCCGGGGATGTAGCCATTGATCCTCGATGATGATGACGATGATGCTGACGACAGTACTGATGAAGATGACGACGACAACGACGATGGAGATCCTGCTGCTGGTGCTCTTGTTCTTGTCTCGTCGTTGTTGTAGTTGCTGTTGATCTTGGCGGTTGTCGTGTTGACTGCTAAATCTTCATGTTTTGATTTTTCTGTTACGTTATGTTCATGATTCGTAGTGGTTTCTACCGCTACGGCCAAGTTTTGAGAAGGTCTCAATCATGGCATTTGGTTCCTGTCCGGGACCTGTGGCGAGAGTGGAAGCGACTACGAGGCCGCTGCAGGGATTGTCAGGCGGTGCATGGTGCGAATGTTTTGGGCCGTACGGGTGAAGGTGCCGCATTCTTGTTTGGGGTCTACAGGATGCCTGAAAAGGCGTGGCCATGTTCGGGTACGTGACGCTGTGAGCCTTCGCCCGACTGGCTTTATCCAAAAGTCTTGCAGGAACTGGTGCTGAAGCTGGTTCGGTGCCATCGCATCGCCGACAATGTCCGGATCTCGACGACACCGCTGGATGCCACCTCGCTCGTTGCCATGTTTGTCTAGCCAGGTTCCCACAGAGGCCGAGAACCTTGTGAAGGTTCACCGCGAGCACTCAAGCATTAGCAGCCCCGGCAAAACAGATTGGTTGTGGTTTGAGTTCACCTCTTGATGGTTGATGTCGCAAAGCCGCGAAGTAAGCGGCAGAGGCGCAAGTAGGACTGTCGGCAGCGGTGCCGCTGGAATGCGCCGAAATCTGCAGAGAAGGAACAAGCATGAAGGGACACTGGAAGTGGCTGGTAGCTGTGCGGAGGTAAAGATGAGATCCTCGCCTTTCCCATCAAAATATTCAGCAGCTGATCTCAACAGTCTGGGGGGAGGTTCCGGGAGGCTTAGTTGCGTCGCCTTAGGATCTTCTTCATCGCGTCAATGTACCTGAATGCAGCGTGCAAGCTCTTCCCATCTCAGCTGGTTCGTGTAGGGTTGCAAGAAGAAGCGGCTGAGTTCCTGGAAGTGTCCAGTCACCGTCCCTGGCGATAAGTAGTGTGCTTCGCAGCAAGTTCACGAGTCTTCTATGAAGCTGACACGGCTGGAACATCCGCATGTTCAATCTCATGTCCTCACACTCGAGGCTGTTTCGATGGTCCCACGAAGAAGCACGATCTCATTGCAGCGCACTCGGTAGCCGAAGCAAGTTCCGGTTTCGTTGCAAGCCTTCAATTGCCATAACCCTTCGGCTTAGGGGGCCTTGCACTTCTCTCGCTCTGGATGTCCCCCGAAGAGAGTACTTCCAGCCTAATGAGCATCTCTTCGATTGCATGGCAGTTCCCACCTAGGTGATGCGAAAGGTTCCAGGAGAGCGGCTCGCCGAAGTCATTTGCAGAAAGTTCTACAACAACCAGGCCAGGACACCTTCAGTTCAAAGCCAAGCTTCAAGAGTCGTTCGGTAAGCGGGCACATCGATGGCGGCATCATGGCACGTGTAATCTGTTCAGGACTGGTACCAGTAGGTACAACGGTGGTACAAGCTACCTTTTCTAGTCGTGCCCGCGAGATCCGCGCAGTTGACTTTGCTGGATGCCATTTTCGAGAAGCTCGGTGCGACTCTGGCTTCGTTTCACGAGCGCTACGGCAAACAGCATGGGGACAGCTGGCTGTTGCATGAGCTTGTAGCAAGCCCGAATCTTGAAGTGTGCGAATCTAGAATCTAGGCTTCTTACATTTTAGCTCGACTTGGTTAGTAACGGTTAGATCAGCCAGCAAAAGACTTTCTATCAACAAGGGCGGAGAGCCTTTGCGTTCTTGCATGAATAGTAGCAAGCCCATGTTTCGATCTAGAAGAGATCTAGAGGTTTAAATGTCTCAGCCGGAAGAGTGTGCAGTAGTTTCACATTGAAACCGCCGTTTGCACCGTGGTGCAGTGGTGAAACGTTTGTGAACCTTGCTCGGGCTTCATGACATGGGCAGCTACCAAGGCTCGGTGCTGCAGAAGCTGGGCTGTTGAAGCCTCGTAATTGCACGCTTTTCTAAATCCGTATCTCAATAGTTCGAACTTGACATAACATGTAGGGTGTTGCTGCTGTTTCTTGGCGGAGCTGCCACAGTCCCAGAAGAAACAGATGTTTGGCAAAAGAAAAGATGCAAATTGACAAAACATCGGCCACAACTTCTGCGCTGTGCCTACCCAAGAATCGAGTCTACGACGATGACAGTGGCGGCTACTCCTTTGTTGCTGTGCTAGTATAGCACTCAGGTATGCCCGGTTTTCGTGATTGTACCTTGTCACATTTTTGCCACAATGTGGAGTGGCAGACTTGTTTGCCCAGTACATCGCTATGGCAAGATATGACAAGCAGGACTTTCAGCCCTCCAACATCTTCTACGACGATGCCACGGACGTTGTTTACTTTATTGTCCTTTCGCTGCACTGAAAGAGCATGCCGCATGCCTTTCGAAAAGGAACTAGCAGAAGCTACAGTTGCAGAGATGATGGAGCTCCAAGCCAACACGTGCCACTATATAGCTTCACACATCTTCGGCCTGCCCGCCGAACTACCTACCCCCACCTAGCCACTGCGCGTCGTTGCAGCCAGAGCAGCCAGTGGTTCGGTGTCCTTGCCCTTCGTCTGAGGACATCGGCGGCATGGGACTTCCGACGTCGGACACCGATGTGGAGCTTTGGAGTGATGAAAGCAAACTTGTGTCCCTTGTTTTGGGCGTCCAGCGATTGCTCCAAGCCTGCTTAGGCATGAGGGCAGATCGCTGGAGCTTTGCACCTGAGGAGCATTTTCGAGGAGCGATGACCCTTCTGGCGGGCGCCTACAGCCCGACATTGCCTGGCCCCTATAGAAAGCCGCCGCTGTCACGCAAAGTCGCCAACCGAAGCAGCTGAGCCCGTCTGGCCTGGAGGCACGAAGAGCTTGCCGAAGCCTTTCAAAGAGGCTATGGCCCTGCCTGACACTGGCGCGCCCTGTTTGCATGTAGTCAGGATTTGCCGTGATTTGCTTGCGGTCTGAAGCCAGATGCGCCGTTGCATGGGAAGGTAGCTGTCCACTCTGCAACCTGATGTCGCGAGGTGTTCTCCGAACTGCTGGGTATTCTGGGTAGTGCTTGAGATGTGGGGATGTCGATATTACAGATGCTTAGGCCCAGGCCTCGCAGGAGCATTGGGTTTCCTCTCAGCAAAGCACGTTTTGTGAAGCACCTCTTGAGCCTGGCCACTCTCAGCTCTGGAATAAAGGCTGAAGGTTTGATTTAGCCTGCACGTCCACTAAGGTGGAATTGGGGTGCAGGCCCCGTGTCCCTGAATGCATCCGGCTAGATGATAGGGCGGGAGCCAACACGTAAGTGGTGCGGAGTTCGACCGTTTGAATGCACTGTGTTGGCAGACATCATTCCGTTACAGAAGCGGGGCGAACAGTGCTGCATAGCGGTCACGTGATGCAGCCATGAGCGCTCCGCATGTGTGGAGCGAAGCCAGAAACGGCGTAGCGCGGCCCTGGAATGCAGCTGTAGCATTTTAGCACTACATCCATCTCAGCTTGACTGTGTTCCGAGCATTTTGGCCTCAAATTGTTGTACCTTCTGAGCCATCTGTCCATCTGAATCTGGCCATGTTCCATCTCAATGCAGAAGCCCAGTAGCTACGCTGAACACCTTGTCTCTCGCTTTAAATGAGGCACAGACACCCAACTTGCTGGCAAATAGTCTGGTCCTGACTCATGCTTCCGGCTTGAGGTCGAAGTTTTAGCTACGTATTCGGGGAGCGCTCCCACGTGGCTCCCACCCTGCACGGCTCTGTTTTCTGCAGGCTGCGCCAGTCACAGCGATTTGTTTTGGAAGATGTTTGTTCCAGTGGTTCGCCATGAAGCCAAACCTTTTCTCAGTGACTTGGTGCCAGCAAAAGTCAGCAAGAGAGTTAGTTTTCAGTGGCTGGCGCAGAGCTAGGGGAAACGGTGCCCAGCCTCCGCAGTGGACTCGGTCGGCAAGATCGGAGCGAGAAAGATTCAGTTGTAAGGGTCAAGGCTGAGGGCAGCTTCATAGTCCGGGGAGACGAACATTGCAAATTGATGAGCTGCTCGTTTCTTGAACCGCCACTGCGGATGAATCTGCACACGTAGCTCTGGAACTTGGGTGTGTGTGTGTGTGTCTTTGTGTGTGTGTGTGTTCCATCCGACGAACAGCCATGAATTGATTGAGAGGAGACCAGCCAGAGCTGCGGCTGTTTCACATCTACCAGAGGGCACCAGACTCTCGGAGACGGCCTCAGGGGGCCTGGCGGTTTTTTGGTGTCAATAGGGGGCATGAGGAAGACAGCTCTACCAATGAACCAGGAAGAAAGCAAGTCCGAAGCCTTTTGCATGCTCCCGACCTGTGCCGAGCCAAGCCCACTGAGCGACCTCGACCGTGCCAGATGAAAGAGCACTGCATTGATATGGACAGTTGTAGGAGTTCCGGTTCTGGGCAAGAACTTCACAAAACGCGAAATATAGAGCTTCCTACTGATTGAGACGGCGCTTTGCGGCTGTGAGAGCAGATGTGGATGTGACGTGGTGGCGCTGGAGCTGACGCCAAAAGCCTTGGCCCGTACATCGGCTCAGGTTCAATAGTTTCAGCGAGTCACTCGGTTGGGACCTTCACGACTCCCTTCGCAAAATCCTGAAATAAAGCTGCACAAGGAGCCTGTGAACAAGCATGTGGAATCATTTACTCGATCGCCAGCATTTGTTCGTAAACTCTCGAATAGACTTACCTTCCGTTTCTCATAAGCAGGTGCAACCGTCCAACACCACGACCATCGATGCGCTTCTCGTCCTAGCCTGATGTTGTAACCAAGAGCTGTCTTGCCGGAATTGCCAATGTCTTGCAAGCAATGGGTGCCGGATGCATCCGTGCTACAGCAGCCGTCTCGTCGCCGCTAGACACCACCATTTGCAAGAGTTTGATGTACAGAAATGCCGAGAGGCATGATGTGCAGAAGTCAGAAGCCTGTAACCTGCAGCCAGCAGAAGTTTAAGACCGAAAATGCTGGGCTCTAGTCATGCTTTAACCTTTCGCGCTGACGACACGACCCCTCTGCCGACGATAGAAACAGTCCTCGGTTCCTGGCTGTTGATGCATCATGTCAGGGAGCGCTACAAGCTTACGATTGAGCCGCCGCCGACGGACGGAGACGATGTCACAGCAGCCAAACCTGCCACACCCAGTGCAGAGCCAGACCCTCAAGGCTTTGCTGAAGTGGCTGAGTGTTCTCGGTCATGTCGTAGCCGCCGCGAGCCTGTTGTTCTTTGCTCCATTGCGATTTGCAATGTTTCGTGCGTATTTTCGGTGATTTTTGACAGCTGATCGCATGTAATTGCGCTTATGTTGCTTGTGCCGAGTCTCGCTATGTTAGTTGGAGACGATTGACACTTCTCGCTGCTAGAAATGTTGTCACAACATATTGATTTCTCGCATCGTGTGTGCAGTATCAAATCTGGTGGTCTTTCTGGTATAGGATGAAATCATAATAATTCTTGAGGCATGACTTCGACCATCGATTGCATCCTCATTTTGCCAGGCTTTGGCCTTGTTCTTTCTTATCGCTTTCCTCGTCCGAGGCCATCGGCCCCTTGGGCCCAGGCCGCCTCAAGCCCACCCAGCTCGCCTTGCGGCAGTCGCTCGGTCGGGGAGCTCAAGGCCATTCGACAGGGCGAAAACAAAGCAAAGAGAGAGCGGCTTTTAAGAGCACCGGAAGAAGAAGAGACAGAGACAGAGCGAGCGAGAGAGAGAGAGGATTGGACACTTGGCGTCGCGCTTGCGCGCAGGGGTTGGGACTTGCTTCCCCCACCCTAATCGCCGAGCACGCAAGCAAGCAGCAAGCAAGAGAGAGAGAGGGTCTAGGACTCAGGGCCATCTTGTGGAATATCCAGCCACGCTTTCAGATTTCACACCGACCCGAAAGACAAATGCGCACAGACTTGTCGCCCTGAAAGGGAGGGAGTACTTTTGGGGTTCAAATTTGAAGGGTTTGAGAGGTTTCGCAGAACTTAGGTTGTAGGATGTCGTCTATGAGGTGGGATTAAACGGCTTGCCCAGCATTCTGTAAGCCTGTGGTGAGCCTGCGGGGCATGTCGATGGCCTTCAAAGCAACGGGTACCGCAGTAGTTGGCAGTACTTACTCACAGGAAAGTACTGCCAACAGAGGCAGATCGAGCAGCCGCAACAGTTCGCAACAGTTGCAGTCGAGCTAGCACCTATGGTGTTGAACGGGTATTTCCCTGAAGCCACGTATCGGAGGCAACTTTGAGGGACATGGGCTGGAAGCTGCCTGCCAACGTAGTGGAGCATCTTGGTAGCACTGGCAGCAATTCACGGGAATCGGACAAAGGTTGTACGTGGTGAAGGGGCAGCAGCCAACGGCTTGCCCAAGCACCAAACTGCACTGCCACAGATCATTCGAGCATCTGCCTTTGGTGCCGAGGAAGAGTGAGCTTTTGGCTTTGGTCGAAGAAGCCGAAAAGCAGAAGGCCGGAAAGTCATCGAAGATGCGTAGAGAATCGGGAGTTGGGATCTTTCGCATATGACATATGACCTTCGGCTTCAACGATATGCAACGAGCTTCAAGGATCTCGTGTTGCGAGATGACAGGTGCTCGGGCGGGGTTCTGCTCAGCAGGAATAATCAAAAGGCAGTGGTGAGTTGTGAGAGCGTAAATAGGCAATGGTGCACCTCAGCACGCCTTGGATTTGGTACGTGAGTGCCCGGTGCTTCCGACATATTGTGCTCCACCCGCAGTTGCTTCCTCGAAGCCACTCGAGCAGCTACCCGAAACGCGGAGCAACCCATTGTCCAAGCGCAGCGCAATCTGTTGTTCTCTTAATGGGCGCCCCGACAAGTTCAGACGAATCATCGTTGCGAAGTTGGACTTGGATTAGCACCCAGTCTTGGATGAGATCTGACAGAATCTGACACTGACCGAAGCAACTAACAATCAACATCGATTCTCGGCAGCAGAGATAGGAGAGAGAGAGAGAGAGAGATACATTATACTTGCAAGCAAGAGACCTTATACTTTTTATTATCTATGCGTATATCGGTCGATCGATAGATAGCTAGGCAGATAGACAGCAGAATGCATGGAAAAAGCCCACGAAGTTTGGACGCCTCCCACTGCCAGCAAGACCAGAGAAAGAAGAGTTTGAGAGAAGAGGCAGCCAAAGATGCTGCACGAGCAGCTTCTCCTGCAGGTTGGAATCCCGGGCTTTTGGGGCCGGGTTCTGCTGCTCTCGGCTTTGAGGGCTGCCTTTTTGTGTAATACTCCTTTGTTGCAAGCGGAACTGCCGGAAGGTGCCAAAAGCCACTGAACTGTTGGGGTCTTTCTTGGTGTTGCCAGCGTCTCCGGATTTGTGGTCGATTTCCGCCAACGTGCTTGGAGGCTTCAAGGAGACGTCAAGCCAGTCCGTGGCGGGAATGAAGCGTCGGCTGAAGGAGCCACAGCCCAAGTTCCGGGGCACATGAAACGTCAGCCGTTCGTGGCTTGCACAAGTTTTCCAGTTGTTGGTGTCGTGTTGCGAGCAGAAAAAGGCATCGATCACTGGTTAAGAGCGCCGATCTGCCCGAAGGGTGGCGCACTGGCTTCAGAGCCAGCATTGTCGCTCGATCTGCATGAAACCATGCCATACTGTAAGCAGGTCCTCCTTTCAGGTTGTGATGTTGGTGTGGTTCTTTTGCTCGATTTTGGGGAACGTTCTTTGCTGCCAAGGCTCGGTTTCAAGGTGCCAAGCAGCATCGTGGAAAAGAGCGAGTGGCTTGGTTGAAAAGTGCTGGGACATGTCACCAGAGAATCGGCATACGTAGATACTGGGAGCGTTAAACGGCCAGAATGTAAGAACAGTTTGGGAAGTGATTGTAGCGTGCGCAACCTGGGTTAACATGACGCAGCAGGAAATTCCTAGCACAAAGCGGTCGACTGAAGCAGCGTAGATTGCAGTCGCTCTGGGTTTTTTAGTAGGAGTTGTTGTTGTTGTTGGTACAGACAAAAACAGCAGCCCGTACTTGTTGTTAATTAGAAGCAATTGGGAATGCTTCCGGCGACCGCATAGGGTGCCTGTAGAGTTTTGGGAAGTTCAAGCCATGCCTGCCCCATGGTAGAAATGCGGTGTAGGCTGGGTGGTTGTTGTAAAAGGGGGGGGTCAAAACAACAGACGGGGCTCCAGTTTTTGCCTCTACTACAGGGGGTAGAGACAAAGGCACCAGCGAAATCAGGACTTTGTCTCTACCTCCTGTAGTAGAGGCAAAAACTGGAGCCCCGTCTGTTGTTTTGACCACCCCCCCTTTACA